TAATTAGAAGGTTTTTTTTCTTCTTTTAAAACTTACATGCAAGCATCAACTCACACAAGATAAACGTAACTCAAAGACTAAACTCTTTTCAACACAAAACAATGTGTAAAAAAAAAAAAACAAGGGGTCAAACATTGTTCATGGCTTCACACATTCACAAAAGTGCACATGAACACATACATTGATGCAGATTACATTGACTCTGCTGCTCAAAAAGACACAAATGACAGATTATAATGGGTTATTAAAGTAATTGCTGGATTATGATGGCTGTTTTTATATTCAGAATTGATATAGACGAAGGGATTGAATGGATAAGAGAAATCGCGGCAGAGTGCTGGATTACCTCCTCCATTCATTCACTTCTCTAAGAGCGGATCAGAAACAGGCCATTAGAGATCAGAACGGGTCAGAGACGTACAAATGCTGCTTTACTTATAATATAAAACAAACATGGTACAACATGCTGTATGTATAACTGATGCACCACTAACATGCTGTAAAAGCTTATCAATCTGGGACTTTCAAGGCAGCTATAGCTCTCTGCAGTTCTCACATGGCCGTCCTGGTTAGTACCTGAATGGGAGACCACATGGCAAAACTAGGTTGCTGCTGTAGGTGGTGTTAGTTAGGCCAGTAGTGTGCGCTCAAAATGTGGGTCCTAATGCCCCAGTATAGTGAAGGAGACACTTCAATGTTCAGTGAGCACTGTCTTTTGGATGAGATGTTAAACTGAGGTCCTGACTCACTGTGGTCATTAAAAATCCCAGCACATACTTCGAAAAGAGTAAGGATGTAACCTTAGTGTCCTGGTCAAATTAGACCACTGGCCTCTGTCATTCATGGCCATCTAATCATCCCCATATCATTATATACAGTAAATGTAAGAAACAATTTTTTCTATTATTATTATTATTATTATTAAGGAACAGCCTGCAAAAAGTGATGAGAGGTTAGTGAGAGAATGTGTTGTAGTTAGTGAAGAAGACAGAGGCCTAAGTTGACTGTTGATCCTGACACAGGAACTGGGGCACGAGTTAGGAAAGAAGGGATGAGTTAATTTAGTAGAGAACAAAGCACTAACAGAGACAGATTAGACTGTATGAAGTGTCAGCTGTCTCAAAAAGCTATTTTAGTGCAAAATGAGAGGTGAGCTGGAGAATATTTTAATTTGAAACAAACAAACAAAAAAAAACAATTGTATATTGTGTTGTTTTATTAAAAAAAAAAGTGTGCATACATCCAAAATAAATGTTACAAAAGTGATTTTAAAGCAATCATATGCAATTGTCTAATGCTTAAAATAGCTTCTGTGAAAACAGAATCTCAAAATATCAGTGAAAAATTTTTACAGCCAAATTGACTATTAGTTTTAAGGTTTGAAATGTCACTGATGTCATTGAACTGGCACATACAAAACCATGTTAAGTTTTTTAGGGGGGTACATGTTTATACAGGTGTTAAATATGTTATACTATTAAAAAGCACAGTCTTATAGACTCGTTCCATATTTCAGATGCCTTTTCAAAGAGTGGTAACATAAGTTGTAAACCCATGTCTTTCTCTAAAAAACAGTTATAATAACATTTTTGGTACCACTTTATTTTGCTGGTGCCTTTAACACATTTTGTTAAATTTATATTACATAGCAACTACATGTCCCCTTTAACTATTTAGAGCATTAAATACTAACACTACTCCATCAACAGACAATCTCCTGGCTATAAAAAGTATGTCAACTTAAACTATATTAACACTAACCTAACAGTCTACTAATACTCTAATGAAAATAAGTTTGTGGTTGCAGCGACCTAAGTTCAATTCCAGGCTTGAGGTCCTTTGCCAATCCAGTTCCCCTTTGTTTGCTCCCCATTCTTCCTGTAGTTTCCTTGTACAATTATTTTTTTTGCCTGACAAATGGGTAAATCCAGATTTAAAATGACAATTAATGACTTTTTTGTGGCTTCACACTGATCGTTAAATTAAGTCTTTTTATATGCTCGACAACATTTCTAGATATATAAACTAACAACAATTTAGAGGGCCATGGTAAAATATACAATAGTCATCTTTTTTTGCACAAAGAAAAAGAAATGCTGTATTTGACATTGTTTAACTTCTTCTTGTCTATGACTAAAATATGTTGAAGACAAAATGACTTGCCCTTCTGTTAAACGTTTACTATTTTTATTTATTATTCTTATTATTAAGTGATGTTTAACAGAGCAAGGAAATGTTTCACAGTATTTGCTATAATATTTTTCTTCTAGGGAAGGTCTTATTTCTTTTAGTTTAGCTGAAATATTACTATTCAATAGGTCAATACTATTAGCTCCAAGAAATTATTAGTTATTATTGATTGGCTACACTGTTATTCAATTACTTGCCCAATAAACCTAACTTGCCTAATTAACCTAGTAAAGTCTGAATACTAGCATCTTCTTAAATAACTAGTAAAATATTATGTGCTGTCATTATGGCAAAGACAAAATAACTTAGTCATTAGAATAGTTATTAAAACTACTATCTTAAATATGGTGGAAAAAAATCTTCTCTGCATTAAAGAGCATTTGGGAAATATTAAAAAAATAATTGACATTTTGTCTTCAACCATATGAATATTATTAATACACATCCACTTGTCAATGGTTAAATTACTAGACCAAATTATTTCATTATAATGTTTGCATTAGCATGGCTCTATCAATGATCAGCTTGTCTTGTAAGAGCCATTCTCCTCCTACAAAAAGCTTCATGTCCTCCTCAACCTGACTAAGCTGAACACACGTCCTTCACTTAGCTCTGTGATGGCTGAGAGTTTCCCTGTGGACCTGCACTACAGGAACAATCTGCTCAACTGACGGAACTTACAGTAAAGGAACATCCACCCGCGTCCCTACAGAGCGAATAAACATTGTATGGTCTCTCTGGCAACAGTTGCCAGGATCTCATCATCACAGCCTGCACAGTGTCAGGCTCTGGAGAGGCTGCTTATACACAAGTGTCTGACTAAATCTCCAACACGCACAACATCTGTGACTCACGCGTTATATCACGGCACAATGATTGATCACGGACCCATTTCAACCCCGAAACACTGTCAATAAACAACAGCAGCAAGCCTTTGTTTCGTTAATGAGTCACAGAGCTGACGAGCTCGTTTCCTGCTGATGCCTCACTGCTTTCGGGATCATTTCTTACTCCCGCGGTCAACATTTCTGCCGCTAATGCTGACAATGGACAGATTTAGCAAGAAACTGCATTAGATGAACCATCTGCACAGCCAGTGTAATCCTGCACAGCTTCGTTTGAGATTCATAACTTCTGGTTATGGATGGCAACTCACTGCAGGTGAACAGAGTAAAGAAAATAACCTAATAGTTACTTCTATTCATTCATTCATTTTCTTTTCGGCTTAGTCCCTTTATTAATCAGGGGTCGCCACAGCGGAATGAACCGCCAACTTATCCAGCATATGTTTTACACTGCGGATGCCCTTCCAGCTGCAACATCACTGGGAAACATCCTGTTACTTCCATACTTGTTGATTGATACAATTGATTGATTACATTATGAAGTGTTTTTTTGTATTACAAGCTTTCTATATTTTGTTTAAATATGCAAATTATTCATTTTTTAATTAAATATGCATTGACTTGCATATATGTCTGGCACAGAAATCATTCTCAAAATTATTCTATTTTTTACATATTAGAGAAGAGATGCCCAAAGTAGAGCCTCAGGCCAAAGTTGGCCCATTGTAACCCTTGATTTGGCCCACCGTCCCATCTGAGAGGACAGCGAGTGTGATGGAGAGGGTTAGGCAAATGCCTTGGACACAGAGAATGTCATTCTAATTTTACGTAAGCTTTTTTGTTTGTTTTATTGCTGAGCTAAAATTCCTTCATTAATTAATTTTCTTTTCTGCTTAGTCCCTTTTTTAATCAGGGGTCACCACCGCTTAATGAACCACCAACTTATCCAGCATATGTTTTACGCAGAGGATGCCCTTCCAGCTGCAACCCATCACTAGGAAAAACCTATACACTCTCATTCACACATTCACTACAAACAATTTAGCTTACCCAATTCACCTGTACCGCATGTCTTTGGACTTGTGGGGGAAACCAGAGCACCTGGAGGAAACCCACGCGGACTCGGGGAGAACATGCAAACTCCACACAGAATTGCCAACTGGCCCAGCCGAGGCTACAGCGACCTTCTTGCAAACCGAAATTAAATGTTTTAATTTAATGTAAATGCATCTGCTTTTTTAAAATGTAAATACTGTCACTCGAGGGATAGAGGACTATGAGAGACACTGGCAAACAAATCAAGGCAAAAACTAATGTCATTTTCTTGTAAATTAAACTGTTTTGTTTTTACTGTTATAAGTTCATTGCAAAATGTCCAAAAAATACTGTGCTAGTTAATACAAACAATGTTTTCTATTCATTTTTAAACATTATTAAATAAATTAGGAAATTACCCATGGTAAATTACCCCACCTATATTTGCCTTCGGCCCACTAGCCTTATTTAAGTTTGGTTTTTGGCCCTTCATAAGAAAAACTTTGGACACCCCTGTATAAGAGAAAACACTGAGAACAGTAAATCTCAGAAAATACTGAAAACGGCCAAAAAAGAAAAAAAAAAGAAAAACATGTTTGACCACATTACACTGTGAAAACTATAAATATATAGATATGAATAAAATGTAAGGTTCTGATGTGGAGCTTTATGACTCAGTGCAGGAGAAAACTCATTTAGATCTTTTTAAATATTTATTTTGATTAAACACAAACACAAATTGATAAAGTGTGAAAAAAACAACTATATTTTATAGATTTTCTTTACGTTAAACTGAAAATCTAATTAAAATTAAAAAGCCCAAAGTCTGAAAACTGACAAGTGCATAAAAAAAACTGTATTTCCCTGCAATGTTGTAATGATGAAAAATATGTTTAACATTAAACTATCCACACTAAAAAAAAACAGTGATAAAGGGAGGAAGAAATGTAATAATTTAATAAGAAATTTCCGACCGAAATGTGACATTTGCATCCATACACACCAACAAAAACAGGCAAGCTACATTTTGGACAAATTAAAAGAGAAACTGTGTTTTTAGGCAGGTTTAAAATAGAAACAGGACTGAGCTCATGCATTTGTCTGACTATTCCCTCTTCTATTAATGTTTCTGAGTGCGTTATTAATCTATTTCTGTGCACTGCTCTGATTCATTCTGGCAAAAGGAGCTCATATCAAAATCAGCGGGGTCTCTAAATGGACACTAGTGCACTAGCTGCACACAAATATAACTTTTGATGAATGAAGAAACATTTAAAAATGAAAAATTTAATGTTAAACTATATATATTGGTTACCTCCACAAAGTGTAAGGGCAGTGGGTTTGTATACAAGTGTATGAGTTTAGACTGTGGTTTTGGATTTAGAAGTGCTTTGAAAGGCATATGTAATGTGGTTACAGGCCTGATTTAGGTAAATATCACCATATGATTGAACAGCTCCTGAAAAATGCCTCCAGTGCATGAGCTCAGACATGCTGACTCGCTGTGGGACTGATATTGCGTTGTCGGCTTGGCGACCCAGCTGACATGACCTTCCAGTGTCCTCACTGGACTCCTTCACAGAACCTGCCACAAATACATGGAAATTAATAAAAAGGCATACTAATTCAATGTATTAATTTAGTGTTCAGCCATCAATAATCAATCATATTCAGACATATCATCGGCAACCAAATTGGTATGTGCCAATAATTGCTTACTTTTAAATAATTTCAGCATTTGGTTTCCTTTTTTCTGAAGTTTTATAGTCAAAACTTGAGTTTATTTAGCCAACAGTTTATACACAAACACAAATATACATACATACTGTAAATACAATCACTGGCCACTTGATTAGGTACATTCTGCAAGTACTCTTCTCAGACATTATCATCCGGATGTCGCAGCAGAAATCGAGACTCATCAGACCAGACAATGTTTTTCCAATATTCTATTGCCTAATTTTGGTGAGCCTGTGTGAATTGTAGCCTCAGTTTTCTGTTCTCAGCTGACAGGAGTGGCACCCGATGTGGTCTTCTGCTGCTATAGCCCATCCGCTTCAAGGTTGGACATGTTGTGCTTTTAGAGATACTCTTCTGCATACCTCGGTTGTAACATGCAAATATTAAAATCCGTACTGCACATGTAAATATTAAAATCTAATCACAAATAGCTAATTTGTGAATTCATTCAATTTAATTTTACATTAAAAAGATAAATTGTCCACTTACAATATATGTTTAACAAGCAGTTTATTTACAAGAGAAAAAAAATATAGAGAAAGAGAGTGTTTTGAGTTTCAATGCTAGGGCCCCATACCTTGAAATACTTTTGGCCCCCAAATCAGAGTTTGGCCCTGACTGCAACAGATCGTCTTGACCATGTCTACATGCCTAAATGCATTGAGTTGCTGCCGTGTGATTGGCTGATTAGAAATTTGCATTAACAAGCAATTGGACAGGTATACCTAACAAAGCGGCCAGTGAGCATTCATATACTGCTCGCACACACACACACACACACACACGAACACAAGCAAGCACGCACGCACACACGCACGCACGCGCACACACACACACACACAAAACAAAAAAATTTGAAAATAGCTAAAGACATATTAGCCTTCTTGTGTATTTTTTTTTTAAGTGCAGAGATTTTTTTCAGCTACTTTCTTATTACTAATTTCTTTTATCTTTGCCATGACATCATAATATAATATTTTACTAGTCATTTGAAATGGGGTTCTGCAATTAATTAAGACTCAATTTAGATTTTGGCTTTCAATAAATATAAAAAAACATTCATCAAGATCATTGCATCATATACCGCCCCATTTTAGCTGTCCACAATGCTGCCACATGAAAATCAGTAAGACATGAAACATGACTTTCACAGCATGGGACGTGCTTGATTAACTGACATGTATTTGAATCATAAAAATAATATAAAATAATGTGGAAATTGTCTTTGCTCAATCAAACATCACTTAAACATTTAAAGAAGAATTTGAATTTCACATAAGGGGGAAAAATGTCTTTAACTGTACATATAAATTAAGAGACCACATAAAAACAGGTTTTCTGTACTTATTAGCTATTGTTTTAAGTTAAATCTAAATATTTGTTTTATTTTATGAAGGTCTGACAAAATTTCTTCCAACTTACAAATAAAAATATTGTCTAAAATATTGTAAATGTTCAATTCAATTCAATTCAATTCAATTCAATTGAATTGAAATGTTCTTTTTCTCCAAAACTGCATGCGTATGGAACTAATTAAAGGTCCAAATAAATATCTGCATGAGCTTTCTCCTTTTATTTTCAAATTATTTGCATTTATTTATGTATGTACTTTCCGTTACCTGGTGTATTTCCATCTCCAGAGCACTTGCAGTTCAGTAAGTCATGTGTGAGGCAGGTGGTATTAGGGTCAAACCTAAAAAGGTCTCGCAGCTCCTCAGCCGAAAAGCTAATATGCTCAGCTTTTTTGGTCAGGTCCACCACTGTCCCAGAAAGCCCTTGTTTACTCACCTGCCTCTGATAAATCTTCTCTTCTATGGAACCTACAACAGACACATCCACACTTTTGCTGATCCAAAAGCCACGTGCAAATTGTAAACAAATGCTTTTTTCCATCAACAAATAATAAAAGTGGGTCTCATCATGTGATATGTGTCATAACAAAGTCTATTGATGAAGTGTAAAAAACATTATAACTGATGAACACTTGTGGGACGTTTTAGGTCAAGAGCTGCTTGATGTTGCACAGTCATAACAAACAGCTACTTTTACACACTGACATACTGTACAGGGTGATTACACTCGTTTTATAGGTAACGTGCAAATGTTTTGGTTACCTGTTGTGAGAAATCTGTAGATATGAACTGTTTTCTTCTGTCCATCTCTCCACACTCGTGCCATGGCCTGACAAATGAATATTTATTAGAAGATCTGAATTCTTCAAAACAGCATTTCATTGAAATCAAAACAGCAAAACAAAAATCACGGTGACATATAATTTTTGCTATTTACTGTCACCTAGTGGTCTGCATTGAAAGTGCAATTAAGAAAACTGTCCATGTATAACAGATGTGTTCTTATCAGTGATGTCCTTACTATATGGGGGTGTAAAACTGTACTACTTAATATTGGAAAAAGCGTAATGGTTAATATGCCTCCTAAGAGGCAAATCAGCCAATCATATAACAGCATTAATGTCAGTGGGCAGCGTTTTACGACAGTCTTTTTGACTTTACACATTGCAGAACTTATTTTATTGTATTTATTCAATTTATTATTGATATTGTAAAATAATCATGGAAAGATTTGTCACGGTGGCGCAGTGGGTAGCACGATCGCCTCACAGCAAGAAGGTCACTGGTTCGAGTTAAGGGTGGGTCAGTTGGTGGGTCAGTTGCATGTTCTCTCTGTGTTGGTGTGGGTTTCCTCCGGGTGCTCCAGTTTCCCCCACCGTCCAAAGATATGCACTACAGGTGAATTGAATAAGCTAAATTCACTGTAGTGTATGTCTGTGAATGAGCGTGTATGGATGTTTCCCAGTGATGGGTTGCAGCTAGAAGTACCACTTCGTAAAACACATGCTGGTTAAGTTGGTGGTTCATTCCGCTGTGGCAACCCCTGATTAATAAAGAGACTAAGTCGAAAAGAAAATGAAAGAATGAATGAATAATCATTTTAAAAAAATGTAACATGTAACATGTATTAATATAATAATGAAGACTTAATCATCTGTTTGGTCAATGAACTATGAAATGTGAACGAATATTAATTTTTTAACAGCTTATATAAATAATAAAATACAATGAAGCTATAGAAAGAACAGCATTTTATTAAATATTATGTACCCTTATTATATAATCATCAACATCATCATATGTCATAAGTTATACAAGTTATTGTAGTTCTAATCTATAAAATTCAGCTTTTTTATTAAAGATAATATAATTCCGTGTTTATTAAACATTCAAAAATTCCTATTATTTATTAAAATGCATTATAAATAATATCAGTCAGGCTCATGCCAGACATAGTACTCATTATTATTCATTTATTCACTCATTTATTTTCCTTCAGCTTAGTCCCTTATTTATCAGGGGTTACCACAGTGGAAAGAACCACCAACTATTTCAGCATCTGTTTTATAAAGCAGAAGCCCTTCCAGCTGCATCCCAGTACTGGAAAATAGACATACACTCTAACATTCACAGATGCACTAAAACACTACAGCCAATTTTGTTTACCAAATTTACCTGTATCGAATGTCTTTGGAGTTTAGACTGTGAAGAAAACTGGAGCACCCAGAGGAAAACCACACAAACACAGGGAGAACATGCAAACTCCACACAGAAATGCCAACTGCTCCAGCCAAGACTCGAACCAGCAACTTTCTTTCTGTAAGGTGACAGTGCTGACCACTGAGCCACCGTGCCGCCTACTCATTATTACAATAATACAAATATAGTCTAGTTTCGGGTAACATTAAAACTGGAGATACAAAAAGATATTTTAGCCCAAACATTATGTAAACACATATATTGCTCCTTATTTGTTATTGTATAGTAAATGCCACAAATAAGTGCTTGTTGGGCGATGCAGTGGCGCAGTAGGTAGTGCTGTCGCCTCACAGCAAGAAGGTCGCTGGTTCGAGCCTAGGCTGGGTCAGTTGACGTTTCTGTGTGGAGTTTGCATGTTCTCCCTGCGTTCGCGTGGGATTCCTCCGGGTGTTCCGGTTTTCCCCACAGTCCAAAGACATGTGGTACAGGTGAATTGAGTAGGCTAAATTGTCCGTAGTGTATGATTGTGAATGAGTGTGTGTGTGGATGTTTCCCAGGGATGGGTTGTGGCTGGAAGGGCATCCGCTGCATAAAAATGTGCTGGATAAGTTGCTGGTTCATTCCACTGTGGCAACCCCAGATTAATAAAGGGACTAAGCCACAAAAAAAATGAATGAATGAATGAGTCATAGTTGTTGCAGCATTCCATTCTCTGCCTTCTTATTAAAAAAATAATTTTTTATCAGGGTAAAAATTACTTACGTTTCACCATGAATGCTTTATATAATGTAAAACATGTAGATTAGTAAACAGGCTGTCGATTCATTAACATATAAGCTATTTTCTCACAAAAGCAGTTAATCTGTATTGTGATGCCTCTCCGTTGACATTTAAAAATTGGCCTCGCTTCCCATGTTCTGCTAGACAGAAACCGCTAGCACTAACTTTTATGCCTTTTCGGCTAAAGATTTTCAGATTGTCGTAAATCATTCATTTATTTTCCTTCGGCTTAGTACCTGATTATCAGGGGTTGCCACAGCAGAATGAACCTTTTACCTTGTCATATATCAGCTTGTCTAATTACATTGTTTCTAACCAATTTTGAAAGGCAACAAGTTGCATTATTTCTTTTTTGTGTCATACTGCAATAAATATGCAGTGGTTTTATTGTTGGCTTATTATTTTCTACTGTAGCTTCTACTGACCTGTATGTCATTGGCAGGATTCCAGTCTATATCATATAAAACGAGGTGAGAGGCACCGATGAGGTTTAGTCCCACTCCTCCAGCTTTGGAGCTGAGCAGCAGTAGAAAGCTGGACGAATGTGGGCTGTTGAAGGAATCAACAATTTTCTGCCGCTGGCCAACTGGTGTCTGTCCATCAAGACGACACCATTTATAGCCTATCTGATCACAGACGTCCTGGAGTAAGTCAAGAGTCTGTGTGTGGTTGGACACCAAAACAACCCTAGGGAGAAAAAGACAGAAGAAACTGGACATAAGACTGATAATAAAGTAAGTCAATTAATGGACATTCTCAGATTCAGCATGCTGATGGTGGTCGACCACAGTTATGTTAGGTGTTATATGTTGTTGATGAATTATGATAAATCAAAACTGTTATGTTTTTAATATAATATAATATAATATAAAATAATATAATATAATACAATATAATACAATACAATATAATATAAAATAAAATAAAAAAATATAAAATAATATAATATAATATAATATAATATAATATAATATAATATAATATAATATAATATAATATAATATAATATAATATAATATAATATAATATAACATAATATAATATAGGGCTGCATGGTGGCGTAGTGGGTAGCAGGGTGAGTTGGCATTTCTGTGTGGAGTTTGCATGTTCTCTCCATGTTCATGTGGGTTTCCTCTGGGTGCTCCGGTTTCCCATGCGATACAGCTGAATTGGTTCGGCTAAAATTGTCCATAGTGTGTGTGTATGAATGAGTGTTTATGGATGTTTCTCAGTGATGAGTAGCAGCTGGAAGGGCATTCACTGCGTAAAACATATGCTGGATAAGTTGGCGATTCATTCCGCTGTGGCGACCCCAGATTATATAAAAGGGATTGAGCCAAAAAAAAATTAATGAATGAATGATTCATATAAAATTATTGTGGGCGGCACGGTGGCTCAGTGGTTAGCATTGTCGCCTCAGCAAGAAGTCCCCGGAGAGTACAGAGCTATTACTTAAAAAAATCAATTACCATGTGGACCTTAATAAAGTAGTGAATTATCTTCAAAAGTAATAAATTAAGACACTGCAGAACACTGCTAATAATCTAAACTCATCTTAGTTAAAAGCAGTTTTTATTAAAAAAAAACATTTTAAGGTCAAAATTATAAGCCCTTTTAAGCTATTTATTTTTATCGATTGTCTACAGAACAATCGTTATACACTAACTTGCCTAATTATCCTAACCTGCCTAGTTAACCTGATTAACCTAGTTAAGCCTTTAAATGTCACTTTAAGCTGTATAAAAGTGAAAAATATCTGAAAAATATCTTGAAAAATATCTAGTCAAATATTATTTACTGTCATCATGGCAGAGATAAAAGAAATCAGTTATTAGAAATGAGTTATTAAAACTATTATGTTTAGAAATTTGTCAGGAAAATCTTCTCTCCGTTAAACAGAAATTGGGGTTAAAAATAAACAGGGGGGCTAATAATTCTGATTTCAACTGTATATTTTTAAATGTTTTTTTCAGTACGTTGTCACTGTAGATCTCAAAAAACTAGTCTGCTGATTTTTTTATTTTTTCTAGTAAGTTTGGCTAGATCGAGCACCCACCTTCAAGAATCTCCTAGATGTGAATAAACTGATTTTTTTCTGTACTTATCAATAGTAAAATCTTAAAGTAAATGATATTATAAGGTCTGACTGCAGTAGAATGTGTGGTATCGTCAGCATTAATAACCTCGTGAGCAGTGTGCCGACATATGGCGACACTGCATTTCGGGCATTGCAAGTAAAGAGTCCTGGCTTGCAGATCCTTCCCTATCTCAGTCTTACTTTGCTTTCTGTTTCTTTTCACAATAAAGGCAAAAGGGCCAATAATAAATAGTGAAAAAAGGAATGTGTGGTACCTGTCTGTGCGATTGACATGCTGTATGGCTGACAGAAGGTCTGTTAACACTAAAAGTTTGCCAGAGTCTGCTGTGCTGAAGGCGCCGGTGGAGTATTCCTCAGGAAAGAGCTCCTTAACTTCACCCTCATACATCTCATCTGCCTTTTCCTGTTGAATAACACAAAGAAAACCATCAAGCACTTGAATTTATAACATAGCAGTAAAAAAAGCTGCTGTAATATTGAAATAAAGAGCATGACAGAGCACATCCGTACCTGTAGTGTGTTGTAGAGCAGTGCAGGGTGGTTGCAGAGTTTCTTAAGGGCGTTGATGCATACAAGGTGAGGGCTGTGTGTGTAAGTGTGAGAGCCAGACAAACAGGCTCTTATGGGTCGCGTGGACAGAAGTACCCTGTACAGACGAATTTGCAGCTCGGTGGGTTTGCAGAACACAGTCCACTCGATCCGCTCAGATAAATACTGATTAATGATCTCCTGAGTGCGGCGTAATGTAAAGACACCTGTCAGACGAAAGAGCTCAGCAGCACGCTCTTCTCCAATACACCGCTCTTCCTGAAACACAGATTTATAATCTGTTCTGATTTTTAAACTGGGATCTGGGGACACCCAGGGGGATGAAGGGAAGAATAGGGTAATTTTGGGGTAAAAAATAAAGGTAAAAGCAAACAAACAAACAAAATAATAATTGTAATAATAAAATTTTATATTTATTTAAATAAATAAATGAACAAACAAACAATTTAATGAATAAAATATGTAAATATAATTATGTATTTTAAATATATATTTCGGCATTACAATTTTATTACATAATTTTATTACAACAATTATTATAACAATAAAATAAATAAACAAATAAATCATTTAATTTAAAAAATTGAAATATATATAAATGTCATCTTTACAATTTTATTATATACAATTGTATACCACCTAAATCAATTAATATATGTAATTATTATTATTATTATAATAACAATAAAATAAATAAACAAATGAATAATTTCAAAATATATAGAAAATAGTATATGATAAAATTGTACAATGATGCAATTTATGTAAATATAATGTTTTGCATTTTATTTATGAATATTTGAAAATATCTACATCATTTAATTACAAAGATCAATTCTAATATCACCAATTACAAGAAAATAATTTGTCTGTTATTATTTCCAATGGAGATGTTTGATTAAATCTTCTTACTTCGGTGCAGCTGGGCTGGCGAGATCGGAGAATGGGCTCTTCATAAATCTTCCTGTAGGCCGCAGATGTTCCCAGAATTCCTGGATTTACAAACTCGATGATTGAATAAAACTCCTGCAGATCATTTTGCACCGGAGTACCTGTTAAATGAATTAGTCATTTTATACATAATATTATACTACTGCACTTACATGTATGTGTGTTTGACTGAAATATATAAATAAAAAGTAAAACCTGTTAAAATAAGCCGGCGTGTGCATGAGAGGGCTGTGAGAGCTCCAGCTGTTTTGATGTTGCTGTTTTTTAGGCGATGACCTTCGTCACAGATGAGGACTCCAAAATCCAGTTCTTTCAGCCGGTCCACAGAGCGCAACAACATCTCATAGCTGATGACCAGGACGGAGCAAAGAGGAGAAGAAACAAAGTCTTCCACACGGTGATCCTGCAGAGACAACATATATATGCTTTAAAAAACACTTATTTTTATTCGAGGACATATGAAATTCAGTAACCGGCATTTAATGTAACAAAAAGCCTTTATTTCAGTTAAATGCTGTTTTTTTAACTTTCTTTTCATTAAAATAATCTAAAAAGTAAAATGTATTAAGTAACATAAAACTATGAAGCAGGGGGAAAAGCAACATTGATAACTATAAATCATTATTAATCATTAAATAGCTAAAGTGTTTGATTTTAATAGAACAGCAAATTAACACATGATAATCTTCTTCTGTACACACCTGGTCCACGGTGTAAACACTGATTCTCTCTCTGCCCAGCCACTTGTTGAACTCAGCAGCCCAGTTCTTCACCAAACTTCCAGGACAAACCACAAGTGCTCTTTTCATTACGGGACGTCCACCATAGGGCCCCTGCCTGAGTAATGTCCACAAAACACAAACACACTGCAGAGTTTTCCCCAATCCCATCTCATCTGCTAGAATCGCCCCACAGCGGCCAGCCAATCTGCGAAAACACAAACATGTGTGTAAACAAAGACGAGCATATGAAGAACATAGCAACAACCGATCAACTCTTATTTACCTCATTCCCATTAAGCATTCGTAAAGGAAGACCACGCCCTCTTTCTGATGTGGCCGAAGGTGATTGGTCAAGTGAGGGTCGATGACCACGTCAACCAGTGGAGCTCCAGATTTATTATACTGCCACTGGTGATCTGCTGTAGGCCGTGGCATCACCAGGGCTCCTAAGGATGAAAATCAATAACTTGTAAATAAAATAAAATGGAAATAAATAAAATAATTTTTTATTTAAATAAAATTTAAATAAATGAAATAAAATTAAAGAAAATTTATTTAAATTTAGAAATTTGTAATTTCTAAAAATAAAATGTAAATAAATTGTAGAAATTTGAGATGTCATTCAGCAAACATGTTTATATAAAAATGTAACATATTTTTCTGACCTATAATACAACCCCTGCAGGGTTCATACACATTTTTCCTACAAAAGTTCTGATTTTTCCAGGACTTTCAAGTAAATTTTCATGACCTAATGTTTCATGTAATGTCAACATATACGTGGTAAATCATAAGAAATGTTTACATTTATAACAGCAAATTATAAAACACGTAATCCTTACCTGCAAAATCAAGTCAGGTGATCGCATGGGACCAGAAGAAGATCATTTAAAATAAGAAATTTTAAATATGGAGCAATCGCTCACTTTTATTAATGTCTAATCATTTTGTTTAATCCCGCCCCCTTTTCGAAGCGCCGTACAACAGAATTTTGCAAGCACAAGCTCTAGTGTGACCGCAGCTTAAGTCCCTTTGGACAAAAATTTCTGCTAAATGTAAATGTAATTTCTATGATTTTTTCCAATGCCTTGTGGGTTTTTCTGTTTTTTCAAAAAATTTTCCAGGTCATGGAAAATTCCTTGACTTTTCCAGGTTTTCCATTACTGTATAAACCATACATAAAAGTATGTAATCGGCACTCTTGGAAGATGTTCATTCAAATGTTTAATTGTGTAGAAAAAAACAAACACATACATGCCACAAAACTATTTGTTGATCTGCAGTGTGAGAAATGTTATGTATTAAATAAATATTAAATGTATCAACCGCCATATGAATATAACCCACCAAGCAATTTTGTGATTAATAGACACCTAATAGACATCTAAACGTACACATCCAGGCTAAAACAAGGGTAAATTTGGGCTGTCAGTAAAAATCAAACAGATGTCTAACAATACTTAAAAAAATAAATTAGTCATCAAATAGAAAGGTTAGCCAGACTTTACATGTTCAGTCACTCATTCTAGTTTATTTGATGACTAGTGTCTTTGGCTTATTGTTAGACAACGATTAGATTTTCACTGGCAGGCCAAACTGAGTCAAGACATCTAAATTTAGACATCTATTAAACACAAATAATGGTTGCTGAGAATCTGTATGTATTGAAAAAAAAGGTGGAATTGAGTATGTGCTATACCTGGTGCGTTCGGGTCATATCGAGGTTTACAGATTGGTTTGTCAAGTTCAGAATCTGTAAGTGCGCCTCCCTTGAGCGCTGGCTTGGTAAAGGATTTGGATACCGGCCGATATGCAGGAGTCTTCGAGACTGTAGGGCTTTCTGCAGGAATCTCGACAGCCGCATCTTGGAAACAGCGGCCTTTGGCATAGTCTTGATCAGATATGACCCCCATGACCTCTATTTGCTTCCCTCCAACCATAAGAGTCTGACCCTCACACAAACTCTCCAGCTCTGATGCCTTGTAACCTGAACCTAAGACAAAAATACGGATTTCAAACACAAAGACTAGGAGAAGATATAATACTTTATGTGATTATATATATATATATATATATATATATATATATATATATATATATATATATATATATATATATATATATATATATATATACACATACATATATATATATATATATATATATATATACACATACACACACACACATATATATATATATATATATATATATATACTGTATACATATACATATATACAGCGGGGAAAATAAGTATTCAACACTTTATGTTTTATACTGAAAATAATGTTTCTAAAGGAGCTGTTAAAATGGAATTGAACTAGATTTTGGGAAAAACCCAAACAATACAAACCAAAAATGAAACAAAACAATACAAAAAATTTTAAATCCGTTACGTGTAATAACAATGGAATGACAAGGAAAAAGTCCTGAACTACTGAAATGTATTTAACACTTTAAATAAAAGGCTTTTTTGGAGATGGCAGCTTACAGATGCCTCTCATGTGGAGTTTTTCACAGACTTCAACAGAGTGTAAAAATCTTGATGACTCTGTGGATCTCGTCTATCAAATCTGATCTTTAATTTGCTTTTATTTTGAATTCAAGTCAAGTGATTGGCTGGGTCATTCAACCAGCTTTATTTTGTTTTTCTGAAAGCATTTGAGAGTTTCCTTGGCTGTGCTTTGGATCATTGATTTGCTGAAATGTTTATCCTGGTTTAATCTTCATTGTCCTAATATAGTTGTTAGACTGAAGCAGCTAATATTCATTTACAATGATGAAGGGCAGAAAATTGCTGAAAAATACTGAGTTATTTCAGCTGCTGGCTGGACTTTCACTGCATTTCTACAGCTCCCTTTATTCATGTGTTCAGTACTTTTTCCCTGCGTCATTTTATTTTGTTTTGCATAACTTAATTTGTAAACTAGATTTGTTTTTTGATTTGTAATTTGAAAAGTAGATTTGTTTTATTTGCATATATGGATTTCTTTGGTCGCTACCAACATCACAATTTAATTCAAGTCAACCCTATGTTTAGAAATATTTTTTTGGGTAAAAATTATGATCAATTCTTTTGTAAAATTGTGTTCAATGCTTATTTTCCCAGCTAAAGTCTTTTGAATCGGTATGCATGGCTACTAGATGAAAACACTACTGTTATAACCACTCCGAAACTAAATATGAAACCACGATTTTTATAATTCTTGATCAACCTATTAGCCTATGCGGTTTCTTTTGATGCGTAAATAAAACCTATAATGGCATATAGTATTACTTTTAACACAGACAAGTCGTTCTATGTCAGCAGCTGGTTTGTTAGAAAAATCAACTGTAAAGAAGATCATTTCCGTAAATGTATGCACTGAATTAGCCTACATATTACTTTTGTTTTAAAAGAACTTTAATGATTAAATAAAACTGTCATGATTTTAAAAAGCACTGAATGCTATATTTCATCAACTAATTTAAAATAGATTAATATGTTGATGCACAATACGCACAATATATGTTTGCATTCACTGTTTTATTTGCATGTTGATTATGACATATTAAATTTAAACTGCAATAGTTTTGGATTTTGTTTATTGTAGTCTTGTAGAGACTACAATGACCTATAAATAATAAATTAAACAATAAAAAAATAACAAAATTAGCTGATAAAAAAATTATTACAGTTTAGTTAATTAAAATACAGAGCCAAGTAAATCACTGTTAAATAAAAAAGCTATTTTGTTTTTTTTTCCCCTGCTGTATCCATATATTACTAAAGTACGTGCTAAACAGTCATGTTTGTGCCCTGTTGCACCCTAAACAGACTGATGAATATTGTCTCAAATGTAAGGTTAAAGTATAACAACTCAAAATGTAATTCACAAACAATAAAATGACAGCAGATAAAAATGGAATTGAAACTTTTTATGAATTCTTTGCACTTTAGCTATCAAAACATTGTTCAGTGAGAAAAACTAATATTCAGGGATTTGCCAATATTTACATTAAACAGTTCTGTTTCTTTTTTAATGATCCACTAAAATTATTAGATGAAAGAAACAGGGAAATTTGCATCCCACACACTAGTATACAATGTCAACTCATTTAATCCTTAAATACGTGTTTATGTACAAATCTGAATGTGCTGCTCGAATGTGCTTTGATTATCTAACCTCGTCCAATGTCCCGGCCCTCCATGTCTTTAAGGACAACCGTTCGCCCTCTGGCAACAAGCACAGCATCACCTTCCCAGCGCTTATGCTTCCTTGAAGAGGCCTTGCACCATATAACACTATAGTAGTGAGCTTTAAAATAAACAGATAATGAATCAGCAGCGATAACACAACATAATAATAGCCTAAATCAAACATAATGCTTAGTTACTGTGCAGTTATTATATTCATAAACTAGAAATGTGCCTATATACTGTATAAACTGATCAGGCATGTTTAAATGAGATCAAAACTGTTACATAGGTCACAACTTAATCATATATACAATTTTTAAATTAATGTGCCCTCAAAATTATTAATTAAACAAATCCAACAGTAATCAAATCCAATTCCTAATGGACTAATTTAGTCTTGCCCGACAGTTGGTCTCAGCTTAGAAGCTATTTACTGTAAGTCTGACAAACCTAATAACAAAAGAGGAAAATACAGTAGTAATATTACCTATTATGCTGTGAATAAGCATTCAAATGAAGCTAACACAAACTGTTTGATTTAGAAGACTCTCATTCATTGCTGTTGCTACGTAACAACCAAAGAATAAAAGCCCATCTCAAACCACAGAGATTAAAGCATTTATGAATTTATTATCAAACACATACAAAATCCAATTGAATTCTCTCATCCACACATTAAAAACATACAATTCTGCTACAAATATCACAAACAATCCTCATACTGAATAAAAAAAAACTGTACAAACAAGAAACAACTGTACAAACAGCATTTTAAATTAACATTTTATGGCTCCCTTTTTGACGTACTTTCAAAAGTGAGACAGTGTACAAAATCACATCAATGGCAATCCTTGCCGCAGCCTGGCAGCTCTCAGTTTCTCCACTTTAACTCTTGACCGGAGTAGCTCCTCCTCCAGCTGCTGCTTTCTCTTAAGCCCCTCCCTCTTCTCCTCTATATATAAACCAAGCTTCCTATGATTGGCCAGAAGCAACTCGTGCTCCTCTCGCATCATCTGCAAAGCCTCTGCCTCAAACGCAGGATCCTTGAATGCTGTCCTCGCCGTGTGATAGGCGCTCCTTCTGGGCCCGTGTGCCAGCGGCGACGGTGGCAGGTGTACAGAGGATGGGCATGGAGAAAGAGAGGCAGCATAAACATGGGAGGCCAATTCCTCTTCCTCCTCGTCTACCTCGTCTTCCACTACTTCACTGTCCCTTTCATTTTGGCCATGGTGGGCTTGGCTGCTCGGGGTGGCGATGGTGATGGGTGACCCGTGGGATGTAATCAGGTGGATATCCGGAGGCGGTTTCACATCCTCAGTCTCCACTCGAACAGCTGTGACTGGAGGATAGTCGGACAGCGCTGGGATGGACAGACTGCTGCCCGGCTGTTCTACAGGAGAGTTTCTTTTGAACTGAAGCCTAAAACAGACACATACACATGCTTCATTAATAATAGACATAAATATGGTAAATTTGAACAGTTCTTTAAAATTGTGATTGAAAGCTCAATTGTTAATCTAAGGCAGTGGTTCCCAAAGTTGGGGTTGGGACAAAGAGGAGGGGTCACTTGGCGATTTCCAAAAATCTAATTCATTTTATTAAACTATTAGAAGTACCATACTTCATCTATAAGCTACAAAAGAACAAAATTAATAGTAACACTGTTAACATGTTAAGAATATACATTAAAAACAACTTGCAGATAAATAGTCATCAGTCTTTCACATTTTTTTTTGTGCCCTCTGGGGTGATTACATTATATAATATGTATATTGAAACCTCTACAGCACTCACATCGATTAAAAATAAAAACAGGCCACAACTGAACATGGAGGATGGCCTCCGAGTGGCCTTCTCCAAAATTAAACAATGAATAGACTTGGGCCGATAGACCATTTTGAGGGATGTAAACAATAACAATGGTCCCAACGGATTTCCTGTTTTACATGCATAATTTCTATAGCTTCAGAGAATCCAAAAAGAGCCACATATTGAAAAATAATGTTATAGCAGCTGTTTTAACATTAAGACATGATTGAATTGCCTCTTTCTACAGTTATGAAATAGTTTGATAACAAGCAGGAAATGTTCATGGGCCAATGACATCACCACATTGAAATGGTCTATTGGTATGTGTAGGCCGTTGTGTGCAAGGATTATTGGTCTATAACCACCTTAGAGGATATTGGGGGTCGTGAGTCACTGGCATAGTTATTTTGTAGGGTTGTGGGCTGAAAAGTTTGGGAACCCCTGATCTAGGGCAGTGGTTATCAAATAGGGGTGACACTAGGGGGCATCAACAAACTTCTAATAAAAAAATGTAATGTAAAATGGAAAATAAACTCGCTTTAGTTTGTTGGTTACTAGAAGGCAAGGTACCAGGACAGGTGCCACTTATAAACTGATGATGGGGGGGTCAAGTTTTACAGTCATGTTCGGTAATATACCTCAGTGAACCAGTTATAAATTTAACAACTACATTTATTTATTATTCAAACTTTTTTTTTGTTTGTTTTTTGAGGGATATTGAGTGGTTCTGGATGACATTTGTGATTAAATCAATGGTGACAGGTTTGCATTCCTGCACCTATTAATGGATGACCATGAAATACTGCACATTTATTTTTTATTTTACTGTTTAACTTCCATGTGTGATCAAGTGTATAATAAAATACAAACAATACATCTAGTTTTATAAACATCTACAGTACAAATGCCTATTTTACAGAAAACATGTTTTGTGAACACTTGTGCTGTCTGTTGGTGCTCTAGATTTGTCAGTTTCAAACCGCTAAATTCATATTTTTGCGGCAAACAGCCATTCAAAATGGTATGAATATACTGTAAGGCTTGAAGCTTACGCTGCTATTCTGAACCAATAATCGGAAACAGAAAGCAGTTGAAGGATGGCCTGTTTAAATTTATTATTTATCTGACTCCACTGTAACTAATCTGACTCCATCAAAGTTGTTATCATCATTGATAAAGAGAAAGAATCTCAACATCTTAAAGCAGGCAAAGTTGTTTATTAAGTTACATGTTTAAATATACAGACATTAGAATGAAACAAACTAACATACTGTATTAAGAAATTAGCTGTAACATATGCACTGCTGAGCAACAAAGACAGTGAAACTGCCTTTGTTAGCATATGAGGCTACGCACTGGTGTGCGGGAGATGCAGAGTAAAAGCCATTCTCCCAGATTACCAGTTACCTTTCCTTATTATACCCTGAGCAAAGCATTGTCAAACATGAGTAAAAACCAACCCCCAAACCAGCTGGATATGAGAGCAAAGTTGAGGAGATAAAGTGGGGGAGAAGAACATTAACATACTCTCCTCAGGCCATGACTCAACAATAGTAAATATATTACAGATTGAAATATAATCAATCAATGTCTTTGTTGATTTCATCACTACAACACTGAAGTCATAAACTGTCAAATGACACCAAACATGACAAAGGTATCTGAAAAAAGAACACAAGCAGATGAATTGTGTATGGTGAAGAGCACATGGTTACTGTAAGCAAATAGCAGAGATGTGTATCGGAGCTGTGAGGAACTCTGCCTCACCAGGAGGACCCATCCCATGCTTGGAATGTCTCAGTAGTCCTTCATTAGCATAGAAGGAAAAGTATATAATATTTTCTCAGCTTACAATACCAAATGTATATTTACACTATCTATTATTTTATTTAGTAATATTATTTAAGATACAGATCAGAGAAAACTATTTCTTAACTATTAAAGAGTAGACTCAAAACACATCTTGTTTTGATGTTCTTCAGAGGGGGATCAAACGTTAATTAGAGGGGTCAGACCTTCCCCCAAACCCCCTTGTAATTCGCACTTTGGGTACCAGTTTCTTGAAACACTAAATTCTTTATGGTTTATATTGCCATATTTATGCAAATTTAATTACAACAACTAGACAACTATATTGAGAATACTTTGTAGCATTATGCAGAAATTAGACTATAGACTGTTTCAAATCGTTGTGAATGTTAAACTGAATTCTTCTAAATTCTTATTGGATATTACATCATTCAACGTGACAACGTGTGACTTTACGTAGAGCTTACGACCTACTAACTAAATTTTGCCTTATGAACGTGGTGCAACTGAAAAAAAGAACAAAATTTAGTTAGAAACTAGCTAGTAGTTACTAAGCCCTTAGTGTGAACTTTACGTTACAGTTAATTACAACAATTTGAAAAACATATTGAGAATACTGTCTAGCATTAAGCTAAATTTTGACTATAGACTGGCAGACTGGTAAATAACTGTTAAATTGAACTTTCATACACTAATGCAAATATTAAAACAAGCATTTTTCCCCCTTAAACAAACCTGTGTCAAAAGTTTAAATAAATTTGAATGTAGCATATGTATGATAAAAATGTTGTAAATCAACCAAACCACAACTATGTTTATTTCCAATCTGGCCATCAGTGTTAATGTCTTTATTTTAATCTTAATGCAAGAGTTTACAATTTTTGAATTTTCAAAATATGAGTCTCTAAGAAAGGGGTTTACCATTAAACTTCACTTATAAATAACAAAAAGTAATCACAGTCTGTTTAAAGAGAAATTAAATCCAAGTGATTAAATGAAGCAGTTATCATATTTATGCACAGCTCTCAGCTGAATTAAACATGTGGTGACCGAGACCAAAAAAAAGACCTGTTATTTTGTCAACACAACAGAAAGTCCAAGATAGAGAAGACAGAGATGCCAGCGGAAAGTAACTCTTCTGGCACACGGTGGCAAACCTGGAATTACTGCAGCATCGGAAATACATTTAATGACAGCCAAATCCCTTCAGCGCTGCAGCTTACCTCTGGCACAGGAGTAAAAAGACAGCCAGTGTTTGAGACTACAATGAGTTTTGATTGCATATGACAGAAAAAAATAGAAATCAGTCAAAATGATGCTTGGGTGTCTCTTGAGTTAATTTGACCTCTAATTGGCTGTGTGTGACACTTAGCAACATTGGGGAAAGAAGTTAGTCAAAGCATTAATCACTATTTTTTAAATTAACATCAGCGAAGCCAATTAGGCCTCCTAAATTGCAAACGAATGGATTTAATTGCACAACCTATTATTTGGTTTAAACTCTCCTTTGGCTGATATTTCGTTTTTTAAATTGCATATGCCCCTGATGATGAGTGTTACTTTTGTTTTGTCTGTGTATGTGTGTATCTGTTTAATCTCACCTGTGGAGTGTGCTGGGCTCTTTGTCCCCTATGTGAAACAGCTGAGGAATCATTTCCATGATGCGCTTGGTTGGCTCCGAGATGCTGCCCCGGTACTCAGGCTGGGCGTGGCTGCGCTGAAGAACTTCCTGCTTGGCACTTTCTTTAAGTCGTTTATAGAGGGTCCGAAGGCCCTGCGCAGTTCTGGGGGGCCTCTCGCCTCCAAAACTATTATAGCGTTCTGCTATGCTGTCCCAGCACCGGTTCTTATCGACGATCACGGCGTGTTTGTTGGTGTGCTCCTCCAGAATTCTTATGTGAGGTTGAACCAGCCGTAGAAGATCCAGTTTCTCAGACAGGGTGAAGTTAGAGGAGCGAGCCTTGCCAACCATGCTGTTTGTCATGAATAAGGTAGACATCCTGCTTTTAGGCTGGTCTCAGTGCTCTAGGTTTGATCTGCTTCTCCTCTTTTCTCTGTTCACTTATGTGCGCAGGCTGCTGCACTGCTTGTCTCAGTTAAACAACACACACATGCACAAACTGGCTCTCAAGCGCACAGACGTAAGAAAAAGAATCAGGCTTAACTAGGCCAGCCTCGATTAGGCCCACGCCTACCCGGGGAGGGCTTTGCTGGAATTCCTTTTAGCTTAAGCTGACGCAGGTTCAGTAAAGCTGCTTAAGCCTGGCCTGACCTACATAACAAACCCGACTACATTAGTCTAGAAACAGCGGAGCTCTGTTGTGCCGCTCATAGCGGCGACATGTGTTGCATTTTTTAACGGCGAACGACCGAGTGCGCGTTTTGAGCGCGTTATGTTTCAGTCGCGTTAAGTCCGTGTTTTGACAGCAGAGAGTGAGTTCGCGCGCCCGCTGAAGCGCCAGAGGGAAACATTAAACTGACGCTTAACGAGCTCGCGCATTATACGCGTCTCGAAAGACAGTTTGTGTGTGAGGGAGAGAGAGAGAGAACTTCTTTTGAGACACCAGTTGCTGACAATTGCTTAACAGCTTGTAGTAAGCAGCTCTGCTCTGTCTTGAATCTGTGCGCGGCTGATCGCATCGCACATATAGTGCCTGTCAGTCAAGCGAACAGAGCGCCCTGATTGGTTAGTTTCAGTTAAAGCCGAAGTTAAAGGAGGGCGATAGAGGCGCAGTTTGTTCAACTCGAGCACTTGCTGAATTCTTTTCCTTTTTCCCCTTCTACTGTACTGAGAAAAAGCGTCTAAACCAGTTACATTTCCTCTTTATTGATCGGAGTTTAGAGCACAACAATCTAGCAAATTATGTAATCGTTTATAAATCAACAGATTATATTATTTATTAACGTGATATTTATTATTGGCGACAATTTGAAAAGTTAACAACAACGCTATAAACGAGAAAAAAAAGACATTTAATTAGACTGTTAACAAGAGAACTGGGTTAATGATGTTGAGGGCACATGATTATCAAACATCAACAAGAAATTATGAAAGAAATCTAATGAAAAGACATAATTCTACCTGTTGCATCATTAAAATGTGTATTTTTAATGAACAAATAAAAAGACATATTTAAATGTGGTTATTTAAATTGTGTTTTTAAATGTCATTTAATAAAGCAATAAATCAATGCTTTTAAAATAACTTAAAATAAATACACAATTTTATAAATGTTTGTTTAATTTATGTTTTAAAACGCTGATTAATCAAACAATAAAAACATATATTTATAGATCATTTAAAGTGCATGTAAATGCACTATTTAAATAGTTAAAAAAAGACATTTGACAAATGCTTTTCTCTTTATTTGACACTTGCTTTTCCAATTTAAAAGTTATTTTTAAATGCATTAATTTATTGCTTTACTCAATGACATTTAAAAAACATAATTTAAATAAACACATTTAAATATGTTTATTTATTTGTCCTTTTAAATAGCGATTAATTTACACACATTTTAATTTAAATTGATAATTTGATTCTTCCTTTTGATTCTGGCCAGCACTCCTGGTCCTCCATACTAGACACCAATATTTTAAAGAATCATAAAAAACGTAATCACTGTCTGGTCATCTGTGAGTTCACTATCATAAAAGTTAGTGTACATCACAATCATTTTATTATTTTGCTTTTGGTACATCATAGTCAGTTTGAACCCAGAACCCATGGTGACTGGAGACACCTGACTTAACAAGCGTATTTAATGTTATGTAACCAAATGAAAATACCTTTTTATTACACTAACCATACTGCTTAGTATTTATTGACATATGCCTTTAGTCAACATACATAATTCAATGATAACAAGGACACATAAAATATGAAAGTGACAGTGTTCTTACCAGTTGTTGTGCAGCTAGCATGAGTGTTTAGCGGTGGTGAGCGCCTGTCTTTATTTACTGATTCTTCGGGTTCAGGAAAGTCAGGCATAGACCTGATGTGGTTTTCCTTACATTCCCCCTGAGGAACCGCAGCACCAAGGACCCTGGCTAGTGCCTTACTTCCTACTGGAGCATCACTTGCAGCTGGAGCATCTCCACTACTCAAACACCTCTGGACCTGCTGGGAGAAATAACTTTTAAACCCAATCACAAATGAAGCAAAATGCACCTCGTCAGGATCATTTCTTTCCATATCGCCATTGTTGCCGCAACACACATCAAGAACTCACCCGAATAAACATTATTATTAGCATCACATATTAATAATGCACATAATAACAAACATTGCATGTCCATTTTTTAATTATCAGGTTTTTTAATTATTAATTTGACCTTATTGAGCAGCACATTTTTTAAAGCAGGTATGGGAGGCGGTGAGGGTTGTGATGGTTCTGGTTGGGGATCCAAACAAGGTGCTCCATCATTCCTCGCTGGACCCGGTGGCATAAATCTGGGTTTCTTAGCAGCATTTCCACGGAGCTGACTCGGAGCTCCAGATCTGCGCATTCTGTCAATAAAGACACACATGCCATGAAACTAGAGCTGCACGATACTGGAAAAATCAGATGTGATATCTTATTTTTCTGTGATAAATATTGCGATATGATTTCACAAGATAGTTTGAATAGCAGTATTTGACGGTTTTCTGGCAAGCCTAACAGCAAAAAATGCTTTTCTTACTTTTCTTTGTCTCATTTATAGTCCAAATATTACAAAATTCTTAGGTCAAGTAAAAATATTGTTTAGTTTTCAACTTGAGAAGAAATAAGTCAAAATTAGGAGTTTTTCCAAGTGAAATGATCTGCCAGTGGAGGAAGTAAAATAATTGTGTTTTTGCATTCAAATGAAGATATTTGGACTAGAAAAAAGACAAATATTCGCAAGAAATTTTATTTTTGCATAAAATGTATATATTCTGTATAAATATAGTAATTAAATACAATTCTGTGGATCCTGTTTAACTATCAATAAGACTCAACATATCTTGCGATGTGACTATTACTTGTGAACACATTGTGATATTGATGCTGAAACAATATATTTTGTACAGCCTTACATAAAACCCTGAAGATCAGAGTAAAAGGGGACTTTTACTTTCCTAAATGTGATATTTGATCAGAATGACCTAAGGATTGATTGGAGCACTCTCTGTGTGTGTGTGTGTGTGTGTGTGTGTGTGTGTGTGTGTGTGTGTGTGAAACCATATCACAAACATACATTAGTATCATTTCATGTTCTTGAGTATAAATTTCACATGCAACTTATAAAAATTTAAATATACCATCACTAGACATTTTTGCAATTTATTAACTGATTTTTCCTTATTCATTCATTAACTATGCATATTAATTATTTAGTCTTTCGATCAACTTTTATATGTAGTGTTTCATATTTGTATTATTTCACTTGCTTGCAGGGCTTTCCATTGTTGTTTACCATTATGTTTGTGGGGTTACATTATATATTTCACTAATTTGTAGAAGGGTTTTTATATTTCAGATTTACAAGATGTTGTTGTGAAGCAGATCTGCATACATTGCATTAGATTTATTTTTTTGACATTGCTTTTGCAGTATTGAGCAATATGATCGATCAAATATTTATTTTGAGTTTATAAATGTACTAATTAATCAGAGGCATGTACTAGATTAGTTAATTAGTTGTTGAATGTAAACAGAGCGATGCAGTGGTGCAGTAGGTAATGCTGTCGCCTCACAGCAGGAAGGTCGCTGGTTCAAGCCTCAAATGTGTCAGTTTACAATTCTGTGTGGAGTTTGCATGTTCTCCCCATGTTCGCGTGGGTTTCCACTAGGTGCTCTGGTTTCCCTCACAAGTCTAAAGACATTCGGTACAGGTGAATTGGGTAGGCTGAATTGTCCATGGTGTATGTGTGTGAGTGGTTGTTTCCCAGTCATGGGTTGCAGCTGGAAGGGCATCTGCTGCGTAAAGCATATGCTGGATAAGTTGGCGGTTCATTCCGCTGTGGCGACCCCAGAATAATAAAGGGACTAAGCTGAATAGAAAATAAATGAATGAATGTACACATGAAGTGTAAATCTGAATTATGTAAATAAATTGTCATAAAATTGCAGTCCTACACTGTAACGTGTTGTTTTTATATATATGAATTTAAATACCAATTTATTATTAATAGTTTATATTTATAGCATTCTGATTTACTAAAGTAATCCGAAAATTGCTATTACGGATACAAAAGATACCCCTGAAACTTAATTCAAACTGTGAAACAGAAATATAAACTTTATTTAATAGAAAATATAATTTCTGACCCTTTCATTAGCATCAAGTATAAAAGAACAAAAATAAAGAACAAAAATTTATTAAAACTACATTTAAGAAATAATTAGCACATTTCTTTTAAACTGGTAAAGTGGTTAAATGTTTTAAAAGGTTAACAGTTTACTCAAAACACACAATGATAAAACAGTAGTTTAAGAGAACAAAAACATTCAAACAAAAAATAAGAAAACAAAGAAAAAAATAAATGATATACAAATACACAAATTATCTCCTTTCTAATGACAAATCCAATTCAATACAAAATCATCTTTCCAGTGACAAATCCAAAACAATATTGCCTAAATTATTTATACACCATCAACAGTCAATGTGTACACCTTTTTGACTTTGTACTTGTCTGTGTCTACATGGGTGTAATGTGTTTTTTTTTCTTTACAAATTTGAGCAATTCCATGCAAATGTTTACCAAAATAGCAAAATACTTTCTAGGTTCTTTGTGTAGGCTCGTATTTCACAGAACTCTAGAAATACTCATAAATGTCTGAGTCAATGTTGTCAAACTAATATATTTGATTTACCAAAGTCACAAAAGTGGCATTTTTACATCTGTCACATGATTCATAACCAAGCTTTTTCCTCATAAATGTCAACTAAAATAAAATCAATGATTTTTGTTTTTATAGTAAGCCGACTCTTATCCTTTAGATTAGCATTGTTTCATTTGGGTTGTGCAGTTTAATTTACAGAATTTCTACAAAGTATGTTGTATACTGTAAACTCGCATACTTTTTTTGGTCACGTCCATAACGCATGTTTACTTTAAAATATAAATAATATTTACAGATTGGTATTTTTCTGATCCCATAACTCTGTGGTTAGTTGTTTTGGAAAATATAAACAGATGGTGCAATATAATGTTATCATAGATTTTCTCTGTGTATTTATGTTTGAATTTTTTACTCAAAATGTCAAACCCATAACGCTGGAATTGCTCATTAATTGTCAGCATTTTTAATAGTTTATTGTTTTATTTTTGAGTATTTTGTTGTATTATGCACTGTCTGTAGTCTGGAGCCAGCACCTAAGCTATTCAATTTAGGTAAAGCTGGTTAAATATCGGCACATTCGTACAGTGACAACTTGTGACATGCTGCCTACATTGTTTAACATGGTACTTTGAAAATTCAATCGAAAGTCACATGTAAGTATTACTTGAAAACAACATTAGCCCTATTTATTTGACTGTGAACAGTGTTGTACTTTGACAGTCGTTGACTGATAATAGGATTAGATTTCCATATTTAGCATTGGCAAAGAATACTTTCTTGGAATGACACTATTTTGGAGAAACTTTACCTTAATAGATTTTCATTCATCATAGAACACGTGCTGCTGCTGCTAATGTGACAGTTAAAGTGCTTTGATTTGAGGTATGTACACAGAAATTGAAAAAAAGAACTTTTGTTGACATTTTTATAATTACATTTTAGTATGACTTTTTAGGATTTTTTTCTTTATGAATGCAATATTTACTACCTAATCAATAATATTATACATGATGTTAAATATTATTATTAAAGTGTAATAAGCAGCCCTGATGAACTGCAAATTCTTTCGTATCAGAGGGTTTATGATTCACTAAAAAGATCCAGTTCATAAGAGTCATTTCATTTGTTCATGAATCGGACAACGCGGGGTAGCTCATCTATATATATCATTAAACTGAACCAGCTCATAAATAATGTTAAGAAGGTCATACTCATTAGAGATGACAAGAATGTGATAAACAAAGAAATAGTTTCCTTTTGGGCGAACCATCCCTTTGCGAACAGGACATTTTTAGCAAGCAGGCAAGCATCTGTTGCTGTCGTTAGCAAAACACGGGTAAACAATGTAAAGTTGAGCCGCGCTGACCGACTCCTTACACCTCTCAAAACATGTCAAATGCATTTGAATTTAATCTACTAATTGTACATAAGCAATACGTAAACCGCTTACCTTGTTATCGAGTTTCCTCTCGTATGTCAATCACTTTGCCTATTTACAAAAACTCCCTCAAAAACGAGTCTCCCGCGGACGTGACGTACCTTTGCTGTGATTGGACAAAACTCGACGTCACGTAAAGTAGGTGGAGTTGAGGAGCTTATGAAGAGCAAAAATCAACAGTACAGAGAGAGTACTGTTAAAGAAACCTGACAGGAAATGTAGCCTGCAAATAATATATATCTAATCCAGCAAAGGTAAATGAAGCAAAATAGAAGAGACGTCTGAAAAGTTTGATTTCTGTCAACCATCACTGATCAAACAGGCAAGTAGAAGCTACTACACATTATTAACTAGACTTGTTTGGTTATTTACATTATAACAAACAAGTTTTGTGCACAGTTATTAGCTTTGACATCAAATCAATTACTGGTTTGTGTGTGTTTTATTATATTCATCATTGCAGTCTTTCATTAATACATTGTTAGTATACTTTATATTCGAATTATTGCAAAAAATATTGCTTATTAACAAACATATTTTACTAGAAAGTAAACAAATGGTGAATTTTTGTACATATTACACAGTAAAGAAAAATCTGTATATGTAAAAAAGAGTACTGGAAAGGCACTGAATGAAATAAATTATGATCAATGTATCAATGTTTATTTTTGGTTGTAATTTAACTAATAAATATATATAATCATGAATTACTGGCACAGTACTGGAGAAATCTTGAATAACATTACCCTTTAATCTTTAGAAACGTTTAATAACACATACATGGTGCTTGAGTGTGATTTTATTGAATTCTTAAGTGTTTTACTCAGTAACTGTGTTTGGGATGCACACAGATGCATGTTTGCATGTGTTGTGTCAATATTTTATACAGTGCTGCATGTCTGAAAGTGAAGCTGTAATGTTGGCGTGTAGAAAATAATCCAATCAGAGTGTGGGAAAGCATAATCCTGTCTAATCCAACCGCAGCCATGAAGAACAGAGATCATTCAGGCAGTGAGAGTGACCAGACACTGACAAACATCCTCTCCTTCATAAAGATCCTGCTGTATATCCTCAAATGCGGATCTGTTAGCAGTGAGGGTTTAACCAGAGCAGCATATCATAGAAAAACAGAAGTGTTTAATGGTCAAGCCACAAACGGACACCTAAGATGATCAGTTGTTTTTCTGTCACGTGGCCAGGCAGGTGCAGGAACACTTGCGCAGATCACCTGTTACTGAGGGGTTATTATTAAGGACCGTCTGCTGGATGTCAGTGAGGGAGGGACCAACAGGCTCCTGATATATGGGTTTTACTGGTAAACACTCCATTTTCAACATTAAATGTGTTGTATATTTGTAATCATTGTTCATTTATAATTTACATTCTTTAATTACTTTTTAATGTAACAGAATTATTCATGTTAAATTGTAGTTGTCAAATGAGAAAACATTTGAATGTGTAACATAACAAGTAATCTTACAATTCTGTATGTTTAAGATACTTAACAAAATAAAATGTAAAATTTATATACAAACCTGTTTCTGTTTGCAGTTTTTTTTATCTATTCTTACATTATTTTAACTTTGTCAGTGTGAAAATAAAAAAACATTTGTTTTGATTGGATTTTTAAAAAATCATTTTTAATTTTATTTCCTAAATCATGTTTAGTGTAACAAATATTCTTGTCAAGTTGTAGTAGTTTAACACAATTATTAAAAAAATGAAGTTTGTTGCAAAGAAATTACATATTAAGCTGCAAAGAAACAAAAAAATTATATTTATTATAAGTTGAAGACCTTAGTTATATTAAAATAATTTAAAATAAAAATGAAATGTTATTAATAAAATAATAAGATAAATAAAAAAAGATAACAGTAAAAATATATTATTTGTTTATTTCTGTTCTAAAGTTTTAGAAATTTATCAAACTTATTTTTTCCTATATTTTAACTGCAAAGTTAAAAAATATGTCTAGTTATTTAGTAATATTATTAAAATAAAATTTAACAGTTTATTAGTTTTGAAATATATAAATATACAATTATATAAAATAATTAAAGCACATATATAATTTGCTAAACTAAAAATGTCATCGTTAAAAACATATTCAATGTGTTTTTTAATGTGTATACAGTCTTGCTGTGCCTTTGGCTTGTATTTGTATGAGGGTTGCCAGGTGCTTCAGTCTCACCTGATCTCAGCATGTAAAAGGAGTTTCCCTAAGGGTTTCCCTGAGGGATTTCACCAGGTGTGTGTGGAGTTCTTGCAAATTTGTTGTTCATTAGGTGGTCTGAGGACAGGTGAGAGTTTCATAGCAAAGGAGCATTAAAATAGCATTTTGCACAACTGCACACACGTTGAAGGGTGTTTTTATAATGTTTAGTACAAATGAAGCTGGCGATCTGACCTCCCACTCATGTTTCAGGCCAACAGCTGCCACCTGCCTGTTTCTACAGCAACAAACCAGACCACCTTCAGCAACCACACCTGAAAGAAACTCTGAACACACCACACACAGGTAATCGCAATTTCACTAATATATGTATTTGTACCAATTAAAATATGTTTTTGAATGTTTTTTTAGTTATGCTGCTTTGCTAAGTTTACAATAAAAGTCTGTTGGCCTGCAGTAGCCTTAAATAGAACATTTGATATGATTTCTTCATGTAAAAGAAATACTATTGCTCATTGGTAAACCCATTTAACACTTACATATCAATTATACTAAACGTATCTAACCAAAATGTATATATTCATTTTGCTGTGAAGAAATTTTTTGCCTGAGTTTGTGTTTTGAAATATTCAAATAAGAAATTTATTTGTACTAAAAACAATAATGTGCGGCCGAAGCAGTGGTGCAGTAGGTAGTGCTGTCGCCTCACAAAAAGAAGGTTGCTAAGTCGCTGGTTCGAGCCTCGGCTCAGTTGTGTGTGGAGTTTGCATGTTCTCCCTGCATTCGCGTGGGTTTCCTCCGGGTGCTCCGGTTTCCCCCACAGTCCAAAGACATGTGGTACAGGTAAATTGGGTAGGCTAAATTGTCCATAGTGTATGAGTGTGTGTGTGTGATGAGATGGGTTGCTGCTGGAAGGGCATCCGCTGAGTAAAAACTTGCTGGATAAGTTGGCGGTTCATTCCGCTGTGGCCACCCCAGATTAATAAAGGGACTAAGCCGACAAGAATATGAATGAATGAAAAATATTGTGGAAAGTATGAAATCTTTGTATTTTTGCCATTAGTTGTTGTTTTTTTTTTGAGGGAAAAGCATAGTTTTTCAGACAGCGTGTTATTAGCATCTAGGTATTTTGACGCTTATACATTTAGATATTTGATACAGATATTTGTTAAATATCTGCAAAATAAAAAAAAAAAATAAAAAAAAAATAAAATAAAAAAATATATATATTTTATGCTAAATTTAGTATTTAATTATTATACTTTTTGATGTATAAATGCTGCATGATTTTAGTGTGTGTTATCTTTAGGGGTCATGTTGTGTTTTCTGAACAGAATACACAGTTTATATAGTGCAAAACATTGAAACCCATTGAATGTACTCAAAGAATGAACTGCTGCTTGTTCAAACTACATTTTTAAAAATGAGCTGAATCAACAATTCTTTTTTAAGGTTTTTTAGACAACTTCGTTGTTGTATGTTTAATCCACTTAGTGAAGTTTACTTATAAACTAATTTCGAGAGGAGCGCGTGCTTATGTTTGATAGCAGCTGGTCCTCATTAGCTAACGCATGATTCACCAATCAGACGATTCCTAAATCACTATAAATAACCACAGTATCTTAACTTAACCATCTTTATCTTGAAGAATCCCCCTTCCACCCCTACTCCTCCCATTTCCTCATCAGGGCAGCACGGAGGCCCAATGGTTAGCATCATTGTCTCACAGCAAGAATGTCACTGGCTTAGATCTTACCTGGCCAAGTCGTCATTTCTGTGTGGAGTTTGCTTGTTCTCCCCGTGTTTGCATGGGTTTTCCCCGGGCTCTCCGGTTTCCTCCGACAGTCCAAAAACATGTAATACAAGTAAATTGACAAAACTAAGTTGACACCATAGATGAATCCAGTATTCACACACTATAGCATTCAAAATCCACATCCACTATCCACTAAGCAGAGGAGTTCTCAAGACCTACATGAACTCATACTCCCCTCTCGCCCTGCAACAGGGGAGAGCCCCGGGCTCGAGGATCTCACAAGCTCAGGGCTCTCTCTCGGTACAGCATGCCAAATACGCTTTATATTAATCTTCAGCTAAGGGCGAACTCTTGAAATTTTGTGAAAACAATTAAGTTAACTTAATCGGTTTGTGTTGGGACAACATGAAGGAGTTGTGTGGAAACAAGCATTTCTTTTTTTCTTTTTTTCTTTTTTAAATATATGTAAAACAAACCATATTGTACATACGTTAACAGATTTTTTTACTTTACCAAAAGCAAACAAAGAAAACAAAGCTCAATATCAGAGAGATTTATTAATAAATAAATAAAAAAACAAATAAATAGGGTGAGACGGTGGCACAGTGGGTAGCACTGTCGCCTCAAATAAGAAGATCGCTGGTTCGAGCCCTGGCTGGTTAGTGGGTTTTTTTGTGTGGAGTTTGCATGTTCTCCTAGTGTTCATGTGCGTAAAACACATGCTGGATAAGTTGGCGGTTCATTCTGCTGTGGCATAATAATAATAATTATATATATATATATATATATATATATATATATATATATATATTTATTTATTTATTTATTATTATTATTATTTTAATAATCGGATGCAACTGAGAAATGGTCACTAAATTTTTTCCAAAGTCCTTGGTGATCCTCTGACACTGAACAGTATTTTCTCGGGAGTGCAGTGGGAAATTAGTTTGTTGATCCATTATTATGAAGAGTTGGGAGAGTGAGGTGATATTCAGTCAATTAAAATGCATTTGCTGGAAATGTAAAGTATTTTTATGATGAAATGTGTCTAGTAGTTCAGTGCCCCCTAATATTCAGATTGTAGGGTCATAGCTGAGTTGGGTATCTGTAATTTTTGATGATATGTCAACTATTTATTCCAAAAATCTGAGAACCCAGCATTTCTTACAGCATATGCGTGTCCTCTGTAGGATGGGCTACGATCTGGAGCGTTTTGTAGGCTATGTGAACGAGGGTCTGCTGTGCTGTGTGTGCCGGGATGTGTTAGAAGACCCTTTACAGGCTCCGTGTGAGCACGCCTTTTGCAGCACCTGCATTCATGGATGGCTCATCCACCACAACAGCTGTCCAGAGGACCGTCTGCCTTTAGACATCACGCACCTCCGCCCGCTCTTCAGGTATGATTCAACGCAATAAACTGAGACAGCTTCACTATTCAGGTAACTTCTAGCTTTAAATCAAGCATCTGTGGTGTGTTGTGTGTTCCAGATACATGAGGAATGATTTAGCGAGGCTGCAGGTCAGATGTGTGTTCAGGCCTCAGGGCTGTGAGGTCATCTGTGCTCTGGAGTCTATTCATCGGCATGAGCAACAGTGTGATTACGCTTTGCTCAACTGCACTAATACAGGTATATTTGAACATTCATTATATGTATATGTATTGTTTAAGTGCCCTACACTAATATTGGCACCCTTGGTTAAAATGAGAAAGGAAAGCTTGTCTTTATTGTTTAAAAGTCTGTGTGACCTGGAAATTGCTGAGACTTTTATTTATGTATGATGATGTACTTCCAACCAAAACAGATTATTAAGTAGGGGGCGGGGCTTCATTTTTGTGCATCATTCTCTCATAGCAAACTAACTGTAAGAGGGGCATGGTTAAGAATATTGTGGCTGAAGCCATCAAACTGACATCAACAGAGAAGGACCGTCACTCTAAACACAGAAGCAAATGGGCAGACTTTGATTAAAGATTATTAAAATGAACTTTTTTTCTTCAGTGGATTGACTTGCATGGATTATTTGTTAGCCTAACATAGAGATGCCCAAACTAGGGCCCGCAGGCCAAATTTGGCCCATGGTAACCTTTGATTTGGCCCGCCATCTTATTTGAGAAGGGAGGGAGAATTTTGAGAAAGGTTGGGGTAAATGCCTTTAATACACAATGTCATTTCTATTTTAACGTAACCTTTCATTGGTTTGTTTTATTGTTAAGCTACAAAAAAGCAAATGTTTTAAATAAATGTTGTAAATGAATAAAATTTTTTATTTTGAATGAACATACTGTTGCTCAACATACACCACAATTTAGAAGTCCTCAGTAAGCAAATCAAGGCAGGGGCAGCTTGGCTAGTGTATTTGGTAATAAACTCTGTTGTGTTATAATGGAATTCTTATGTTTATATTATAATAGGTTCATTAAAAATGAAAAAAGTATATATATTTAATGTCTTAGTTAATATGATTAAAGTAATGTTTTCTATTTATTTTTAAATAAATAAGAAAATTATCCATGGCAACTTTTTTTTGGCCCTTCAAAAAAATGTTTTTCTCTTAATATGTTTTGTGTACACACAAAAAATACATTAAGGCTAAAAGAAGCTTCTAAGTTGCCAATTTTTGAGAAAATCTTAAAACAATGATTGTGTTAGTCCTAAACTTACTCATAAACATTTGGTCTAAGAGTATTTTAGAAAGCGTTTTAGTCCTAAATCAGTAAAAAATAAACATTTTAAAAACATTTGACCATGGTGAGCTTTTAATACACTATTCAAGGTATTAAATAGTGTATTAAAGATTGAGGTTCCACTCAATCAATTTGTGTTCACAATCAACTTACTAGTTTTTATAAATTTAATTGGATTGAACATAAAACAATTAAGTCGTTAAAAAAAACTTTTTTTTTTCAGCTGATTTTAAACAAGTAGTTTAAACATGAAGGCAAAATCCTTTTTTGAGTGTATAAATACAATTTTGGCCATTTTAATATATTAAAATTTTTTAAAAAACTATATATTTATACTTTTTATATTTTAAAAATCATTTAAAATCATTAAAAAAATTATAAGAAAATACATTACAAAGGCACATACTTTTTAGAATGCAATATTTTACTTATTATCAATATTTTCACTTATCACAATATTTGCCTGCATTTCAAAATCTTTATTTAAATATGGCAACATTTTTATTTTGTCTATTTGAATATGGCAGCATAATATTACTCTCTACAGAGTTTTCATTTATAAATCTCTAACAGAGACTCAAATTGTACTTTAATCAGATTACTGATATCTTGCATAACTACACTCAAAAAAATAATGTTTACTGTTTATTCCAACTACTTTAAAATGGGCTGAAACAACACAATTTTCGAATTTTTGAGGGGAGAACTTAATTGTTTTATGTTAAACCCACTAAACTAAACACAAGCTAATGTTAAACAACATTCTGTAAAAGAATCATTTTACCTTCAACTGTATATTGAGTAAAAAATCAAAAGGTTTCACAACAAAAGACACTTTTCTTTGCCTTCTTTGCTCATATTTACCAAGGTTGCTGCGGATATTAATTAAGAGCACAATATATATAGTTTTTAAGCAGGGAACAGGTGGCTTATACACTTCTCATTCATATTAGTAACAATACAAAGAGCAGTTGAAATAGCAGATGAATGAATGTGGTGGCCACAAGACGGAGATAGATCCCGGCTTTTATTATTAATGAGGGGGGGTCTCCTGCAGACAATGAAGCCAAGCCTTTACTTCAGGGTTAAATCCCTTGAGCTGATTATTCAAGAAGTTTGTTTCACATAATGCATATGCGTGAGTTTTAGTAAAGCTGATGGAACATGTCATAATGCTGAAAATATTTTTATGTATATTGATATGCAGGTGACGAGTACTTGTGTTACCGTTGTGGTAGGTGTTCTGTGTGTTGTGTGAACTCTGTGTGTCTGTTTCTTTGAGTTTATTTCCCCTTCTGAACTTTTCTTGAAAATCAGCAGCGGTCACAGAAGGATTAATTATACAATAATTATACAGTTCATTGTGATAATGCTGAAGGCTTTGAAATAAATTCTTAAACTCTTGCTGGAAACCGCTGGCTTACACTATTATGTTATATGTGACCATGGACCACAAAACCTTTTAATTGGTGTGAGGTTTGTTAGGATAGAACAATATTTGGCCAATAGGGTTAAAAAAAATCTAAATATTCAATCTTAAATATTCGATCGTTACTAAATATTCTAAGAATTTTGGCTATAAAATACAATATTATAATCTTGAGTTTAGTGTATTTAATTCATGTATTTTTGATTATTACCAATAACATTGCAACATAAGATTTATTGGTCTTTTTAGTTCAAGTTTTGTAGTCCAGGATCATATACATATTTTTTCGTTTTAAATATTGTACATTTTTCACAAATATCCATTTACATCAGTTCTCAAGTTTACTGCTTAATAATAATAATAATAATAATAGGCAAAAATAGCTGGATGTAATTGAGCTATTGACAAAAATTCACATCATCATCCTCATATGTTGGCTTAAATAGCTGAACTTGACCTATTGTTTTTTTTTAATTTTCAACACAATCTTGATGATGCTCAAGTCTACCAAACTCTCAGATAATAAAATCCAAAAACTGTCACTGGGGCAGTAATTATTATTTTTTTTAAATGACACATTTATAATTTACATAGCCATAAATTGTGCATTTTAGCATCTTAAAGAGTTTATATTTGTACCAAAACGAAACATCTGAACAGTTTGAAACGGCTCCACCCCAACAACAGCTTTTGGATGTTTTTTTATGAGAGCGCACAAATTGTTATTTCATGCTTTTTAAAAAAAAAAGAATAATAATCTCAATCATGTCCTCTGTGTCTGCGCTCAGGCTGCCCAGTTCAGGTCTCTCGTCGCTCTCTGGAAGCTCACCTGTGTGTGTGTGAGTACAGCAGTAGAGTTTGTGCGAGCGGCTGTGGATACACAATCCTCAACACGGATGAAGCTCAACACAACTGCGTATCGGAGTTGCGAGCTGAGTTGGACATGCTCAGGTACACACTCTGCTCAAATCATATGAGCTGACTATGCAAATACTGGCGCATAAATCAAATGTGTTTCTTATAGGGCAGAATTAGACTGCAAAGTCGAAGAAGTGAGGCATGAAATGGAATCACGCTTGGACTCCCAAAGAAGACACATGGTGCAGAAGGAGAGTTTGCTAAGGAGTGAAGTGGACGAACTTAAGGTACGTTACTGTCAACATCAGGGCCTGTGTTCACAAAACATCTTAAGGCTAAAAGTAGCTTATCACTTGCAGATAAATCCTATTTATCTTGCAAATAAATCTTTATTTAGGACTATTAAGAATATTTGCTCTAAGAGTATTTTACAAAGGCTTTTAGCACCAAAGCTAGCTCTTAAATCAGTGAAATGTAAGGGGTAGTGATGAAGACATGTCATTAAGACCAAAACACAAACTATTCTGAAATAGTAGTTGCGGCAAATTCTTATGAAGATTAATTATAATATAAAGACAGAAAGTGACGGACCAAAAAAATATAAAATGTGAACGTTTATCAGTGTGCAAAGACCTTTAGCCATGATTATTTTACCCTGTTATTTAACCCTGTACAAGGAATTATTTTCTCCCGCCATTCATTCACATCTGCAGCTGACACTGTTGGTAGTTCAAACATCACTTTAGAGCTAGTATGTGAATGATTCTCTAGTATAATGTCTAAAGTGATGACAAAACAGGTGATTTTGCTGACATTTGGAGATTATGAGGTTGAACAGCATGAAATGCCATCAGTCTAGAGACATTTTTTAGTATTTCTCTGTTGCAATCGGGAAATTGCAATAATTGACCTCGAAAAAGCCAGAGCAAAGCAAACACTACCAGTTTCTGTGGTATAAATACAGCACTACATAATACAACAGAAAGAGATCTCAGAATGTCACTTACCTGATTTATAATAATTTGTTCAGCTGTAGTTTGAAACATACACTGAGAAAATGCTGTTTTTCTTGCTTAAGGACTTCTCGTCTCTGTTGCCATCTTGTGGCAGAACGTCAACTGTCACTTTCTTTGGCCTGCTCAGACAGGCTGATGGTGGCTGACGCACAGAATCCGATGCTCCGAAATTATAAATATTTTAAAATAGGCACTATCCTTATAAATAAACTGCATAGTTGCAATCTGATGTTGATCTGATTTCACTTTTATAGCAAATAATAGTTTATTTTCAAAGATTTTAACATAAAATAGCTGAACATAAACATAAGATTCAGAGAAAAATGCTCATTGTATAAGTAAGTTCTAGACGGCATCTATAGACTTTTGCATCTGAACTCTTATAAATATCTATCTATCTATCTATCTATCTATCTATCTATCTATCTATCTATCTATCTATCTATCTATCTATCTATCTATCTATCTATCTATCTATCTATCTATCTGTCTATCTATCTATCTATCTATAAAATACTACACAAGTCAACGGCAGCCGGTTTTCAGCATTCCTCAAAATATCTTCTTTTGTGTTCAACAGAAAAAAAAGTCAAATAGTTTTGGAACTAGTGGAGAACAAGTAAATGATGAGTTTTCATTTTTATGAGGAACTATCCCTTTAAGACTTTCCTTTCTTGCTTAGTAATAGTTTGTCTTGGCAGATCTTTGAATAAGTTGTATTACAATTTTAAATGGTAAGATAACAAGTTTTGTGAATACGGGCCCAGCAGTCTTTTGTGTGTGTAGTAAATTACTGACAAGTGTGTGTTTGTGTAAAGGCTCAGCTGTCCCGGGTCATGTCAGATGTGCGTGTTCTGCTGGGAGCAGAGAGAGCGCGTAGACAAGAGCTGGAGAGGGCAGAGCTGGAGAAGGCGGAGCTTCTTGAACTTTTAAAAAAGGAGGGGCTCAGACCAGCCACGCCCTCTGAAGCAGCCCCACCCCCTGCTGAAATGCAGAGAAAGCCAAGCCCACGCAGTCTGGCTCTGGACTGCATCAAAAGGAAGAACAGAGAGGTCACTGTCATCTGAGGACACGGCTTTTCATAGTAGAACAGTAAAGCCCAAAGCACACTTTTGTGTGTGTGTGTGTGTGTGTGTGTGTGTGTGTTTGTTTATGTGACATGAATTTCAGCCTTTGCGCAGTGCATGTATAGTCTAGTTCTTTTTGTTACCACATGTACTGTGCAATGCACCTGCAGTTCACACTTTACAGATTTGGTTTTAATTGTTTTGCATTAATTGTTTTGTCCACAAGATGGCAACCCTGAACTGGGCTTTTGTTCCACAGTTAGATTAAATAATAACAAAGATACAAGTCACAGTAGACGAGAAATCAATAGATGCTCACACTCACAATGACTGTATTTGGGGATGAAAAGATGGCCACAATTCTTTGTTTAAACATTTTATAGCCACAATTCTATTTTAAACCTATTATTTATATAACTTTTGAAGAAAATCTGTCAAGGATGATTTTTTCAGGCATGGATGTCGAATGTTCTAAAAACTGAAACAAAATGTTTTGATTGCCGCTGGTGGTTGGCTGCACACACACGCACACACACACACACGCACACACACACACGCACGCACGCACGCACGCACGCACGCACGCACACACACACACACACACACACACAAACACACCCGGTCTATGTAAACAATTATGATATGAACTAAACAAAATAATTGTTAATCAAAGACATTTTTTACAAAGATGGCTTCTGTCATTTGGATTTATTATGTTAGCGTATGTCTAGGTGTTTGCTTTTCTAATATGTTTGCTTTTAGTTATTGTGTTGGCTTCATAAATACAGGGAGTGGCATTATCAGGGGATCAGTAGGTAGTGATTACTAAAGCCGTTTTAGGGAATTATAAGAGTTTGGAAAGTACCCTGATAACACAGAACTTCATGATCACCAATTTTGTAGGCTCTGGCTCCAAAGGGCATCATCAGAGCAAAATGGTAGAAGCCATCTTTGAGACGTTTTGGCTTCACTTTTTTATAGTGGAAGAAAGTGTAATGTTGTTTTTTGGAATGGCCGTGTATCCAGCAGTGCACATTCACTAACACACACACAGAAAAGAATGAAGTGTACTTGATGATTCACATTGATGGTAACAGAAAACCGCAAACGGGAACTCATCATCTGAATGAAAAGCCGGATTAATCGATTAAGTGCTATAAAGCTATGGGCTAAAATTAAACCAAATTGTGACGTAAAGAATAAAAGTTTAGAATTTGTTTTCCCATTTGAAAGAATAACCGATACATTCTGCTACTTTTCTTGATATTAAAACAATCTGTTTCAACAAGTTGCATTGTGGATTATTATATTATTCATTCATTCATTTTCAGCTTGGTGCCTTCATTAATCTGGGGTCGCCACAGCGGAAAAAACTGCCAACTTATCCAGCATATGTTTTACCCAGCTGCAACCCATCACTGGGAAACATCCATACACTATGGACAACTTAGCTTACCCAATTCTCCTGTACCGCATGTCTTTGGACTGTGGGGGAAACCGGAGCACCCGGAGGAAACCCACGCGAATGCAGGGAGAACATGCAAACTCCACACACAACTGAGCCGAGGCTCGAACCAGCGACTTATTGGGTCATAGGCACACCTCGTTTTGTGTTATCCATGTAATAATCTCATTGTGTACAGGTGTGCCTTATATTGGGGTCAATAACAAAAGACAACCCTTTTTTAATGTGGCATCAGTTTGAACATTCTGTGGGTGTAAAATCCGGTGTTGTCAGTAAGTCATTACAAGTTCATCATTCGAACACCACCTGGTCATGGCACGCCTTTGGGTCAGCAGGAGGCTGTTAGATGTGTCTTATGACCTTAGTGTGTCTCAAAGTGTCATCAGCAGACTTGAACAAGGCACATAACTACTGGCGATGGGGAATTCATTGTGTCTTGATGAATTTCTGATGAACGTATTACTCCCATTTATATGCTTATTTGAGTGATTTAAGAATTATTATTATGTATCTATCTTCATGTACAACTCATGATCATACACATCTGCACACTCATGCGCCCCTGCTCAGTTGCAATGACTCCCAAAATACGATGACCCTAAAAATGCCCGTGAACTTCAGCTGAAGCTTATAGTTGACAGCTCAAAGTACAGTGAACAAGATATATTGCAGAGTATTGTTTTGCCACATTTGAAGTAGGAAGGAAAGACCTTAAAGGGTCATGGGGGGGATTCCTAAAAAACCTGAGATTCTATTGGTGGTAAAGAAATTACTCAACTGGCCATGGGTAGGAAGCATCTGGGAGATTTAAAATCCTATTAGTGGGGAAGCTAATGGAGGTGTGTTAATGTGTGAATTTGGGTGGAGTGATAAGACAATAAAAAGTGTATTTAAACTGTGTGCTAGCCTATACTCATGAGACACTCGAACGACCTGTCTCTGTTGTTACTGATGGTGTAAAAACTGCTTTGCCTAAAGACTTCGGAGATCTCAGACTTTGCTATTTTTTGCAAACTTTGACTTAGAATATTTTGCAGACCAGAATCTTTTTTCCACAACACTGGCAGAGTTCATGACAGACCCAGGAGTGGAGCCCCACGAGTGACAGGACCTATGCACTCAGACATTGTTAGGCAACTGGCACACAGCTGCAGGCTGTGAATGTGAAGGGTACTAGGGTTTCCAGACAAACCATTCACAACTGACTCCACTGCTTTGACTTGAATGCCAGATGATCGTTGCAGATGCCTCCATTGACACCGCTGTGAATATTTGCAGTGGGCACAAGAAAATGTAATCTGGACAATGTACCGTCCTGTTCACTGATGAGTGTCGGGTCACCCTGTACAGAAATGATGGTTATCAGCGATGCTGGAGAAAGCGAGGTGAGCGATACAATGAGGTCAACAGGGTTTGCTTTGGTGAAGATGGTGCAACAGTCTAGGCAGGCATCACCAGTCAGCGCAAAACAGATTTGATTATTGTAGATGGCTCAGTCACTGCACGTTCTTACCTCAGACATCATAGATTCTATAATCATCCCCCAATTCTGCCAGCACACCCCCAGCTTTCTGTTCATGGATGATAATGCTCTACCACAGGGTGGCAGAATTGTCACAGCTCGACTTCAGGAAGTTGGAGTGCCTCATATGATATGGCCATCACTGTCCCCTAACCTGAAGCTCATAGAGCACATCGGGGACCAGTTGAAGCAGAGACGATGATCATACACCAAATCCACATGAGCTGGCAAAACTGCGTGTAGCACTTGTGAAAAAGTGGAACACATTGCCTCAGAACAACATCCTTAGGCCAGTGAGGAGCATGAGGCGTCACTGTCAAGCTGTCATTGTGGCAAATGGTGAAACAGCCACTACTGACATTTATATGGGGCTATAATTGTTATTGTCCAAATTTTGGGGGTAACAAGTATTAAACTAATGAAAATAGTGTTTCTTCTTATACATTATTATTATTATCAAAGAAAACCTTCACTTACTTCATTAAAATTCAGAGCAAATAGGAAAACCACTTATGCAAATAACAAAATCCCTAACATATTGTGAGTGATGTATTATATTATATTATAGAAGGAGACTCAAACGTATCTTCAGAAGAATTTAATCTTATTTAACAGTTTTAAAAATGAGAAAAAAACACAAAACGTGACAATAATATACACAATATTGGCCAACTGCTGTGTCAGATCCAGCAGATCTGTGCTGTGATTGGTCCATTAGAGCCTGAAGGCTGAGTCTGAGTGTTTAGCGAGTGAATGAGCGGACGTGTCGGCCTCGTCCCCCTCCACTGCCTCCGCTGCTGAACTTGCCTTGGCCGCGTCCACCGCCGCTCACCCCACCGCCTCCTCCAACACTCACTCCAGCGCTCAGCCAGGACAGGCCCGTCCCTCTGCCTCTGGTGGCCCTGTCTCGAGGAGCCAGTCTGTAAGCACCTGAGGAGTTACGGCAGAGGAGTCAGTGATTGTGTGATTGAGCTGAAGAGCTTTTAATTTTATTTCACCACTTTAACATTGAGCAGTAAGAATGGGCTATTTGCACAGCTAGTGTTTTTCAGCCAATAATGAACTTCTGGTAAAAGCTTTATGTGACCATTTTCAATTTTATACGGTTCCTTTTACAGTGTCGATGCTATAAAGAAAGTCAAACACAATCAGTTAAACGAAAGACCGTTTAAACGCAGGCGCCATCATTACCCACAGGCTAGCGCAGAAATTCCATTGAAAATACTGAGGTAAAATAAACTGTCATATTTTAAAGACATGGCATGGAAAAATATAATTTATTGCAGGGCTTCTTGTTTGGTCTGATACCCACTTTATATCGCATCTCAACCAGGTAGTGAAGATAGCAGTTTTTTCCTGAAATCAGATCTTAAATGTGGCTATTCTGTATGGGATTCGTTGGATTCAATACTAAAGGAAACATCCAGCAGGTGGCACTATTATCCAAGTTTATAACTGTAACTGAGCAACTTGATTTTTATTCTACAAAAAAAAGTTGACATATACTTACTGCAGTTAACCGTAAACCACAAATGAGAATTACATGCATATAACCTTTAACCAAATCTATTCCTAAATTTACGGTAGATGCATTGATATTCATTAATATTACTTGGAACTTGAATTATTACACAGTAAAAGATCAATTGTAAATATTTATATTAATAGTATTAAATAATATTATTATTGCTGCTAATATTATTGTAACGTATATATTATATATAAATATATATATTATTATTATTATTCATATTTGACCCATGTTCTTGAAATTCTTGATTCTTGATTTCGTTGAAATGCACAGGTAATTCCAGCAAACACTATAGAAAACAGCTAGATATTTTCTAATACATCTGTTTATTTTACTAGCAAAAATTTTATACACAAATGCAATTTTTTGTCTGTAAAGCCCCTTTTTTTTTGTAAAGATTTGAAATATTATTTGAATATAAGCTCTACCTCCAGCAATGTTAAAGCTTTAAAATCAGTAACACTATGTGAATCTTACAATGTTTTTTTTTTTATTTTTATAATACTTTGAGGACTGTATTGTGTGTGATCTTGTAAACATCACTGACCTTGCTGTAAGATAGATTTAAAGCGATTTTTGTAATTCATATTCCCCCTGGCATTATCTTTTGTTTCTTTTTTTTTTGTTTTGTTCCGTTGTCTACTTTTGTTGTTATAGGATTTGTACCTTTTCTGTAGATTTGTGTATTCTTGTTGAACGTTTAAATAAAAAAAAATATAGAAAACAGCAATATTATAATAAATGTAATATTACACTGATCCTGCATGTTTTGCTAATTGCTTTTGTTTTAACGAAGAAAAAATAAAGTGGAATGTTCTCTTACCTGTCTCCATTTTTTTCCCTTTGCAAAAATGTAATTGTTTAATTGATATGGTACTTTTAATAAGATTTGTATGTTGATTATGAAATGTAAATCATGGAAATTCTGCTATAAGTAGCCCAGCTTTTGCGGTATTTAAAGTAATGTTAAGAAAAAGCCAATATACATATAGATCCTCCCTCATCAGAGAAGTGGTAAAAAGTAGACAAAAGAAACATGTGTGACTGGAAATGTCTTATTTGTCCACCTGTGATCGGGTTGATGAAATCACATCTTAAGACAGTGTTCTTACACATTGTCACTACTTAAATTCCATGACTTTTCCAGAACTTCAAGTACGTTTTCATGACATAGTTTCATGTAATGTCTACATATACATGATAAATAAGAAAAACATTGACGTTCAAATTTATTACAGCATTTCATAGAACACGCAACAATCTATTTAAATTTGTTTTATATCTATGTTAAATTGATTTTGATAATGCTTACACAGCTCTAACAATGTGAGAGAAAGTTTTTGGCCAAGGACAGAAAATAAGTAAAGACAATCAACCTATATTCAGGTTAGGGACAATATATCATGTTTGCATTGATATCACAATGTGTGCATCCGCAATAGTCACATCGCAGGATATACAATGTTGGATTATAGTTTAATCATTCATTCATTCTTTTTCTTTTCGGCTTAGTCCCTTTATTAATCTGGGGTCACCACAGCGGAATGAACTGCCAACTTAACCAGCAGGTTTTTATGCGGCGAAAAACTTATATTATTCGAGATATCACACCTCTACAAAATCCCCTAAATCAATCCAAATAAACCTGTTAAATCATTTGGTGAAATTGTATTTACATCGCAATATATATCACAGAAATACAAAATATGGTAATGTCAGATTTGTCTAATATCGCGCAGCCCTATTTAAAGTATACAGATATTTGTTAAA